GCAGAGCCTTTACAGTAGTGGCACCATCACTCTGGAATACTCTGCCACCTGAAGTCCGTGCCTTGCGGGACTTATCATCTTTCCGCAGGGCATGCAAGACATATCTGTTTCGACAGGCCTTTGAGCTTTGATATTGCTGTTTTTAAATTGTTGTAAATTGTTTTTAAATTGTGTTCGATTTCAGCCTGTTCTTATAAGCCGCTCCGAGCCCCAGGGGAGTGGCCGCATAGAAGTTCGAATAATAAATAAATAAATACAAACAATGAATGAATAAAGTGGTACCTTAGGGACCGCCTCTCCTTCTCCCATCATCGGAGGTCACAACGACCAGCCCAAGCATCTATGGCAAGCATCCTCAATGAGCAGTCCTCACTACCTCTGAGGATGCTTGCCATAGATGCAGGCGAAACGTCAGGAGAAAATGCCTCTAGAACATAGCCAAATGGCCCGAAAAAACCTACAACAACCCAGTGATTCTGGCCATGAAAGCCTTCGACAATACAATAAAGAACTTTGTTAAACTTTCCAAGTTTCTAAAGACTTTGTTTAGGAAAATCCATAGGGCCTCTCAGCCGAGGCACCCCCGCGTCCCACTGGGCACAAAGAGCACGTCCTGTTTTAAAAGACAATTGCTATAGGCCCAGCACGTGTCAGCACACTACAACTCCCAGGATTCCATAGCATCAAGCCATGGTAGTTCAGGTTAGGCCAATCCGCATTCATTCTACGGTACTGTAGTTGCACCCTGAGAGTTGGAAGGGGTCCTCAAAGGCCATCTAGTCCAACCCACCCACAGAGCACTCCTGAAAGATGCCCATGCAAAGCCCATACATCCTTGGAGTGCGGCTCACCTCCAGTATCTGGGTCGTGGAAATTGGGGTCCAGGCCTTTGTCCAGCAACCGGCTGACTTTCTCCACATTCAGCGTCTGCACATACTCCATGAACTTCTTCAGATTCGCCTGCAGCAAATAACAATTAACACAAAAACAACAACAACATGTTAATCACCTCAGAACATAACGATCACATGCATGGGCTCTTAAATCGTGAGGACACGATTCACGATTCCTTGCATTGAAATTGCATTATATGGGTCTACACCAGGCATGGGCAAACCTGGGCCCTCCAGGTGTTTTGGACTCCAACTCCCACAATTCCTAACAGCCTACCGGCTGTTAGGAATTGTGGGAGTTGGAGTCCAAAACACCTGGAGGGCCCAAGTTTGCCCATGCTTGGTCTACACTGACTATATAATGCAGTTCCAATCTGCATCATAAGGCAGTGTACATCTAGCTTGTCAAACCAGTGTAACATGCATTGGGGGGTCCATCTACATTGCAGATTTAAGGCAGTTTGGCACCACTTTAACGGCAGATGGACACAGACCGGACATTAGGAAGACAGAAAAACCATTTGCAGAATGGGAGTTGACATTCATTCCTTACTGGACTTCAGGAAGAGCCAATTGACCCCTATATGACATCTCTGAAAATGTGGGGCAACTTAGAACCACAGGAAGGTATGTATGTATGTGTGTGTGTGTACATGTATGCGTATGTATGTAAGCCGCTCTGAGTCCCCTTCAAGGTGAGAGAGGGCAGGGTATAAATGTTGTGTGTATGTGTGTATATATATAATCTTCGAGTTGGAAGAGATCCCCAAAAGTCATTCAGTCTGACCCCATTCCACCAAACAGCAAGGCACCATTCGATCTCTCCTGACAGATGGCCATCCAGCCTCTGCTTTAATAAATAATAATAATAATAATAATAATAATAATAATAAATAGAATCTTAGAGTTGGAAGGTCATTCAGTCTGACCCCATTCCGCCAAACAGCAAGGCACCATTCGATCTCTCCTGACAGATGGCCATCCAGCTGCTGCTTAATAATAATAATAATAATAATAATAATAATAATAATAAATAGAATCTTAGAGTTGGAAGAGATTCCCGAAGGTCATTCAGTCTGACCCCGTTCTGCCAAACAGCAAGGCACCATTCGATCTCTCCTGACAGATGGCCATCCAGCTGCTGTTTAATAATAATAATAATAATAATAAATAGAATCTTAGAGTTGGAAGAGATCCCTGAAGGTCATTCAGTCTGACCAATAATAGACTCCTAGAATTAGAAGAGGCCCCCAAAGGTCATCTAGTCCAACCCCTTTCTGACAGGCAGCAAGGCACCATCTGATCTCTCCTGAGAGATGGCCATCCAGCATCTGCCTAATAATAATAATAATAATAATACTAGAATCCAGAGTTGGAAGAGACCCCAAAGGTCATTCAGTCTGACTCCCTATGCCAGGCAGCAAGGTGCCGTTCGATCTCTCCCAACAGATGGCCATCCAGCCTCTACTTAATAATAATAATAATAATAATAACAACAACAACAACAATAATAACAACAGTTGGAATGTCATATGGTCTGGCCACATTCTGCCAGGCAGGAAGGCACCATCCAAGCCTTCCCGACAGATGACCATTCACCCTCTGCTTGATAACAACAACAATAGACTCCTAGAGTTAGAAGAGGTCCCCAAAGGTCATCTAGTCCAACCCTTTTCTGACAGGCAGCAGAGCACCATCCAAGCCTTCCCAACAGATGACCATTCACCCCTTGCTTGATGACAACAATAATCAAAATAACAGAATCCTAGAGTTAGAAAGAAGCCCCCAAAGGCCATCTAGTCTGACCACATTCTGACAGGCAGCAAGTCGCCATCCAAGCCTACCCAACAGATGGCCATTCACCCTCTGCTTGATGACAATAATCAAAATAATAGAATCCTAGAGTTAGAAGAGTCCCCCAAAGGTCACCTAGTCCAACCCCTTTCTGACAGGCAGCAAAGCACTGTCTGATCTCTCCCGAGAGATGGCCCTCCAGCCTCTGCTTGAAAGCCTCTGTGGAAGGGTGAATGTGGCCTGCCACCTCCATCTCCGTGCCCACAAGTCTGGCATTTCTGCGTCTGTTTGCACACACCGTCTGCCCATAAGGGGTTTTTTTCTGAGGCGCCGGAGGTAATAGACTTCAGTCTAGGAAACCTTCTGCTTCCCATTTCCCTCTCTCGCAGTTCGTCTCAAAGGTGCGACCAGATCCCTCTGCATTTCCTCGACTATTCTTAAATACAGCTTGCTCATTTAGAGCAGGCGCCTTTCCACAGGGAGAAGAAATGTGCAAAACGGTCCTTGAAACAGAGAGAGAGAGAAAAGGGAGTGCAGACAGAGAGACACCTGGCCCGACAGCCGGACATATGGAACCGACCTCCAAGTGAGCAGGAGCCAGGAATGGCATCCAGCAGCAGCAAAAAAGGGACCTCTGCCTCTACATGGTGGAGGGAGTCTCCTTCTCTGGAGGGACTTAAACAGAGGCTAGATGGCCATCTGTCAGGAGGGCTCGGTTTGTGTCATCTCCCTGGCAGAACAATGGGCTTGGACTGGATGGCCTTTGAAGGTCCCATCCAACTCTAGAATTCCAAGACTATGGAAGGCGCTGCCCATTTAGATATTGGTCTCCTCTTTGCTTGAGGTTTTTAGACAGAGCTAGATGTCCATCTGTCAGGAGGGCTTGAACTGTGTCATCTGCCTGGCAGAATAGATGGCCTTTGAAGGTCCCATCCAACTCTAGAATTCCCAGACTATGGAAGACGCTGCCCAAAACGAGCAAGCTTGTTTTCTGCTTCCTTGGAGACTAGGACGCAATGGAAGAATGGCTTCAAACTACAAGAGAGGAGATTCCATCTGAACATTAGGAAGAACTTCCTGACTGTGAGAGCCGTTCAGCAGTGGAACTCTCTGCCCCGGAGTGTGGTGGAGGCTCCTTCTTTGGAAGCTTTTAAGCAGAGGCTGGATGGCCATCTGTCAGGGGTGATTTGAATGCAATATTCCTGCTTCTTGGCAGAATGGGGTTGGACTGGATGGCCCATGAGGTCTCTTCCAACTCTTTGATTCTATGATTCTATTCTATGATTCATTTAGATGTTGGTCTCCTCTTTGCTTGGGGTTTTTAAACACAGCTGGATGTCCATTTGTCAGGAGGGCTTGAATTGTGTCATCTCCCTGACAGAACAATGGGCTTGGACTGGATGGCCTTTGAAGGTCCCATCCAAATCTAGAATTCTCAGACTATGGAAGGCGCTGCCCATTTAGATGTTGGTCTCTCCTTTGCTTGACTCCTACTAGAGTATCTAATAGACTCTTACTAGAGTTAGAAGATGCCCCCAAAGGTCACCTAGTCCAACCCCTTTCTGACAGGCAGCAAAGCACCATCCGTTTTTAAACAGAGCTGGATGTTCATCTGTTAGGAGGGCTTGAATTGTGTCACCTGCCTGGCAGAATAGATGGCCTCTGAAGGTCCCATCCAACTCTAGAATTCCCAGACTATGGAAGGCGCTGCCCATTTAGATGTTGGTCCTCCCTTTGCTTGTGGTTTTAAGCAGAGCTGGATGTCCATCTGTCAGGAGGGCTTGAATTGTGTCACCTGCCTGGCAGAATAGATGGCCTCTGAAGGTCCCATCCAACTCTAGAATTCCCAGACTATGGAAGGCGCTGCCCATTTAGATGTTGGTCTTCCGTTTGCTTGTGGTTTTAAGCAGAGCTGGATGTCCATCTGTCAGGAGGGCTTGAATTGTGTCACCTGCCTGGCAGAATAGATGGCCTCTGAAGGTCCCATCCAACTCTAGAATTCCCAGACTATGGAAGGCGCTGCCCATTTAGATGTTGGTCTTCCCTTTGCTTGTGGTTTTAAGCAGAGCTGGATGTCCATCTGTCAGGAGGGCTTGAATTGTGTCACCTGCCTGGCAGAATAGATGGCCTCTGAAGGTCCCATCCAACTCTAGAATTCCCAGACTATGGAAGGCGCTGCCCATTTAGATGTTGGTCTTCCCTTTGCTTGTGGTTTTAAGCAGAGCTGGATGTCCATCTGTCAGGAGGGCTTGAATTGTGTCACCTGCCTGGCAGAATAGATGGCCTCTGAAGGTCCCATCCAACTCGAGAATTCCCAGGCTATGGAAGGCGCTGCCCATTTAGATGTTGGTCTTCCCTTTGCTTGTGGTTTTAAGCAGAGCTGGATGTCCATCTGTCAGGAGGGCTTGAATTGTGTCACCTGCCTGGCAGAATAGATGGCCTCTGAAGGTCCCATCCAACTCGAGAATTCCCAGACTATGGAAGGCGCTGCCCATTTAGATGTTGGTCCTCCCTTTGCTTGTGGTTTTAAGCAGAGCTGGATGTCCATCTGTCAGGAGGGCTTGAATTGTGTCACCTGCCTGGCAGAATAGATGGCCTCTGAAGGTCCCATCCAACTCTAGAATTCCCAGACTATGGAAGGCGCTGCCCATTTAGATGTTGGTCTTCCCTTTGCTTGTGGTTTTAAGCAGAGCTGGATGTCCATCTGTCAGGAGGGCTTGAATTGTGTCACCTGCCTGGCAGAATAGATGGCCTCTGAAGGTCCCATCCAACTCGAGAATTCCCAGGCTATGGAAGGCGCTGCCCATTTAGATGTTGGTCTTCCCTTTGCTTGTGGTTTTAAGCAGAGCTGGATGTCCATCTGTCAGGAGGGCTTGAATTGTGTCACCTGCCTGGCAGAATAGATGGCCTCTGAAGGTCCCATCCAACTCTAGAATTCCCAGACTATGGAAGGCGCTGCCCATTTAGATGTTGGTCTTCCCTTTGCTTGAGGTTTTTAAACAGAGCTGGATGTCCATCTGTTAGGAGGGTTTGAATTGTGTCATCTGCCTGGCAGAATAATGGGATTGGACTAGATGGCTTCTGAAGGTCCCAACCAACTCTATAGAATTCCCAGACTATGGAACTCTTGATTTCACAATCGTGTTAAAAAACCAAGTATGGATCGTCGATGTTGAATCCCAGACAACATCAGGATTGCAGAGAAACAACTGGAAAAGCTGACATGATATGAGGATTTAAAGATCAAATTGCAAAGACTCTGGCATGAGCCAG